TATATATATATATATATATATATATATATATATATATATATATATATATATATATATATATATATATATATATATATATATATATATATATATATATATATATATATATATATATATATATATATATATATATATATATATATATATATATATATATATATATATATATATATATATATATATATATATATATATATATATATATATATATATATATATATATATATATATATATATATATATATATATATATATATATATATATATATATATATATATATATATATATATATATATATATATATATATATATATATATATATATATATATATATATATATATATATATATATATATATATATATATATCATATATATATATATATATATATATATATATATATATATATATATATATATATATATAAATCATGACTAGATCAAAAGCAAAAATGGACAGCAATCAAAGCTATCCCCTCGTAAATTTAACGTGCAGTTATTTTACCTATTGTAAGATAAAAAAAAATGAAGAATTTAAATTCCTGATAAATGTTAAAAATATATTTGACAAAAATGTACTAACAAAGTCTTAAGGCAAGTATTTAATGATATAAATATAAGAGGTATTCCAAGAGGGACATTGTATTGGAATTGTTTATTACGGGAGGTTAATTGGAGAAAAGCATGGCTGCTACCATACCAATTTTGTATTTTAAATAAACTAAGAGAAATTCATTTAAAGATTTTACAAAAAATGTACTCAACCAATTTACTCTCCAAATTTTCAGATATTGAGAAAGTTTAATTTGTAAAAACTTTAAGGAATCCTTATGTCACCTTTTTGGTAATTGTCAGTGTGCAAATATTTTCGTTTTTCTGATTATTCTAGTAAAAATAATGTTGATAACACTGAACGCAAAATGAATTATTTGTTATTTTGAAAATGGTGAAAAATTTACAATTTTGTTAATTTTATTATTTGAAAAGATAAAATCTTCATTCCAAATGTAGATATTCAAAATCCCAACCTTTATTCAAGTTTTTTTGTCAACTTGAACTTATTCTGTTAATGAAGTCTCTAAACGCTGTAGAAATGTAAACGCTCTGTCTATTGTTAGATATTATGAATCTGTTTTTAGTGTCTTGTGAAGGTCTTCCTCTTGATTTTGTTTTGTGCTTTTTTTATTTGATTTTCAGTTATCTTTGGAATTTTTGTTTGTTGCCTGTTTTGCTGTATTTGTAAATTACTAATGCAAAATAAAACAAGGAAAAAAATAAATAATGATTTGGATAGTTTTATCAGACGAGAAACTATATATATAAGAAACTAGAATATACTTTTATCACTACTTTCAACAAAATACCTGTATACTTTTTATTCAGTTTACCCATTGCTTGTAAACACTATCAAGTATATTTATATTGAATATTTTTTATTTAAATTCTATAGTTTTACACACACACGCACACACACACACACATAGCCTAAATATATGCAGTTGAAGTCAGAATTATTAGCCCCCTGATTATTCTTTCCCCAATTTCAGCTTAAAGGAGAGCAAATTGTTTCAGTTTTTTTTCTATTTTTCATAATAGTTTTAATAATTCATCTCTATTGACTGATTTATTTTATCTTTGCCATAATGACAGTAAATAATATTAGACTAGATATTCTTCAAGACACTTCTATACAGCTTAAAATGACATTTAAAGGCTTAACTAGGTTAATTGGGTTAACTAGGCAGGTTAGGGTAATTAGGCGAGTTATTGTAAACTGATGGTTAGTTCTGTAGACTACCGAAAAAAATAGCTTAAAGAGGCTAATAATATTGACCTTAAGGCTGGTTTAAGCTGGGTTTTTTAGTAGGGTGGTGTTTAAAAAATAATAACTGTTTTTATTTTAGCCGAAATTAAACAACTAAGACTTTCTCCAGAAGAAATAATATCAGACATACTGTGAAAATTTCCTTGCTCTGTTAAACAAAGAGGAAAGAAAAAAAAGGAAAGAAAATTCAAATGAGGTCTAATAATTCTGACTTCAACTGTATATATATATATATATATATATATATATATATATATATATATATATATATATATATATATATATATATATATATATATAAATAAAAACACACTTTTTTAAAAAAGAAAATAGAACAACTTTTACATATTTATTTATGCATAAATTACAGGTTAATTGATACACATCAAAAGTATATTACAGCCTTAAAGAAAAAAATATATATATACTCATCATACGAGTACACCCACCACAAATCTCGCATTTAACTTAATATTTTCTATAGGAGCTATACAATATTATATTTGTGCATACACATTAGTTTAGTCAGTAATGAAGCCAAATCTGGAGCTTATCTAACAAAATAACCTATGATAACAGTTCAAAAATTAGCTACCCAAATTAAACATGACAAATATTAAATATTAAACAGATTTTTTTAAAATATTAAATAAATCAATAGAAACAAAAAATATATACAACTTTTTTGAAAATCAAAAAAATAAAGAAATAAAAATACCAAATTTAATAATAATAATAATAATATTATTATTATTAATATACATTTTTTATGTAATTTTTTTTATTTTAATTTTAAATGGTGGGCCATTTATAATTTAGTCCTTTTACACATTTTATTTCTGTATAAATTAAATGTGGCTACAAATCAAAAGTATATGCCAGCCTTTAAATAAAAAAAATACATAAATGTAAATGATTAAATATTAATAATATAATAAAACAATTACAAAATTGATTAAGAGACAAATGTAATAATTATTAACTAAATAATCCATAGTAATGCTTATAGTAAGTAACCTGACCAACAAAAGCAAAATATTTAACAAATAAAATTACATATTTACATTAATAGTCTTAAGCATACATTAGGGTCTTCAGTACTCTTTATAAATAAATACATATTTTTAATATTTTTGATACATTTAAAAAATTTATTAATTAGATTGAATTGAATAAAATAAAGAAAACATCTACATAAGTAAAACAAATGATATATGGCACTGAACAGAGACATCATTCGCCCTAATTGACTATCAGTGTATTTACACCAAATAATAATACAAATTTTAGTATTGATTAGTTCTCTGCATAAAAACATATTTATTTATTTATTTTAGTTAGATTTTAATGTTATATCAAAAACAAACACAAAAACATATACTAATAAATATACAATAGACAATCATAAAATCTAATCAGTTTCTTAACAAACATACATTGTAAAAAAAAATACAATAAAAAAGTATACAAGCAGCAACAACACTAAAAACATTCATATATAATATTTTAGTTTGAATAAGATAAATATTTTAAAAGTTCTCCAGAAGACACCTTTTCAAACGTTACACTTAAAATATTTCCCGAATAAAAGCGTTCTCTCATAAAAACATATGATCAGAAGTTTAAGATGGGGTCAACCCTTGGTATACGGGTATATTCATCACATTTCTGCAAACTTGATCATAGAGTTCAGCTAAAACAAGAATACACCTTAAAGGAACTTTGACTAAAAGTATCAAAGTAAACTGTGTTAGCTGGGAAAGAAAAACATTAAAAGTACGTGAAACTGTAAAGAATAGGCTGTTGTTTATCAATACACACACACAAACAGCTTTGGGTCTCAACCATGAAATCACAAACAATACGGTTTATATTGAGAGAATTAAAGTTTAATCCTTAGCTATGAGCAGGGCCAGACGGAATCTGCACACGTTTTTTTGCTATTTCTGCAGAGAATTTTGGTAAAAGTCTGCGAATTTCTGCTGAATTATTTTGGGAGTGTCATAACTTAAAACTTAATATGTGAACTGAAAATTTTTTTTTTTTTTACTTTTATTTAATGTTTAAAATGCAAATCCAATTACACTCGCTTTATTTGGTAAATAAAGCAAGTTTGTCATATAATATATCTAGTAAAAGAAAGAAAATATTACTAAATCAGATGAACATTTTCACATTAGTCCATAATAATACTAAAATTAATAAAAACTAAACAAAAAATTGAATAAATATAGATTTACACACATTTACTCAAGTAAATAAACAGAATTAATGATGGGCTAAAAATCTGCCGAATTCTGCGCGCGCAGATTGCGGATGGGCCTATGAGTGACGTCGTTTCAGAGCAACATTTGCACAAATATATCTGAAGAGAATTCATTAATTTCTTCATGGGTTATTTCAGGTTTAAGTTGTTTTAAACGTGTAAAATATGCTTTTTTATAACAAACTGAAACATTTACATTACATTAAATCACATTACATGCCAAAACACAAATGTATCTTTTAAACAGATTCACAGTTTTTATAGCTTTCTTGTTAGTACATTCAGAAGTCAAAGACATGTAAAGATTTAAAATTGAGGTAAAGTTGGTTTTATATTCACACATTCAGACTTAGACGTTCAATAAAACACTATAGCGGAATTTAAAAGTCTAACAGAGTGCATTTATAATGATATACTATTATGAGCACAACTTGTGACACGATATCAATATTGTTTACCATGATACATTAAATATTGCGTCTATAATAGCACGCAAGAAGACTTCAAAACAACATTAGCACTGTTTAATTGACTGTCAACAACGTTGAGCTTTAATAGTCATTGCCTAATATTATAATTTCAGTATTTAGAATACTTAACTGCAAGTATAATCAGGTGAAAGTCTGAATGTGTGAAAATAAAACCAACTTTACCTCAATAGAAAAATCTGAAAGGTTTACGCTTACAAAATTTACACTTGTGTATAAAATATTTGGCCAAAAAGATCATATTAAATAAATAAATAAAAACATTTGGATGTTCATTCTGATGGTTTCATCCTAAAATAACATTTTCATATTTTAATATAACATCAGGAATTATACCTCTAATACATTTTTGCAAAAACTTTTGGAGTATTCACAACTCCCAAAAAAAGGTGAGACGGATCTTCAGTTTGGTTATCACAGAAGGAACAATTTACATCAAAATCTTCAGAAATAAACCTTTATAAACAAAATAAATAAATAAATGAATAAATAAAAACCTTAGTAGTATAGCTTGTAACATATGCTAAACTCTTAAGACCTTTGATCAGTTACGTAATGACTTTGACACAGCAAACAAACACACTCTCACACGTGCTGGATATTCGTACAAAGCACTAATAAAACCGGCTGATTGATCTACACGTGTATAATCCCCAGAAAACAGCGATTTATTTCAATATAATTAAAAGTGTGTCAAATCTGTGTGGATTCCACCTGCTGCTGCTAACAGGCTAGCGCGCTAAACACAAACAAACTACTTCGTTCTTTTTTCAACACAAACAAACACCCTCTAAATATAGCTGCTTGTCAGCGGGATGGGTTTATATCTTACCCAGATAAATAAAGAGTCGCTCAGCTGATGTTTATTCAGGCTCATGGTGCCGCTTCGTGCTGAAACGCACACTAGCTGCGCTGCTAAATGCGCGCACTCAAGAGCTGGACGCGTCACCGACGCACATATTTGCACTGGCAGCGTCGTCGCCATAGCAATAGAGAGACGCGCGCTCTTAAAGTATTTAGGAATTTGATGATGTATAGGAATAACTTTCAATAATATATATATATATATATATATATATATATATATATATATATATATATATA